AGACTGGTAGTCACATGCTCAATAACTGCCTGGGCTGGAAATCTGGCGCAGCCATTGAAGGCTCAGGTTCACAACCAAAAAGATGAGAGAGTATCCCTATCTTCTGGCCTGGAGAGCTGGCACTGGTGTAGACTCTTGTGTGGCTCTAGTGTCTGAGCTTTGCCTCTTGGATGTATGAGGGGATTCAGCGAATCAGGACCACTGAAGACTTGCTTACAGATCATGCAGTATGGTGGTAGGGATGATGTGGGATGGGGGCAAAGAAGCCTTGTGGAAGGAGCAGGCACCAGGTAGACAGGAGGCCTCATGGTGGCTCTCCTCATGATATGCCCAGATTACCCAAGCCAGTAAAGACTGGTTTCTGAGCACCTAGGCACTTCCTTTGCCAGACGCAGTCATAGTAGCAAGGCAGGAAGGGTTCCTAGCTTTGATACAGTCAGCTGATGCATTTTCACTGCCCAGGGCTTTCTGCATGGAGTGTCACCTAGGCCTCTCAACAGTCTAGGGAAGGGGTTCCTATTCCAGACAAAATATGAAGACTGAGATACTAGGTGATTTGCTCAAGTTCGTATAGTTAGTATACAAATAAAGGATTTTGTTCCTTTATTCACACAGAGGCAGTAAATCCAGGCTTAGCCAAGTACAAAGCCTTTACTTCCCTCCCTTTTGAATTGTGGTATAATTTACAAATAGCTGCACTACTTAAAGTGTATAATTTGATAAATTTCAACATGTATCTAGCTATGTAACCAGTACAATCAAGATAACAAATAGAACTTTTATCCCACCAGTCTCCAGTGCTCTTGGTAATCTATCCCTCCCATCCCTGCACACATGCCCCACCTCCCCAAGCAGCCACCAAGCTGCTCTTTCAGAGTGGATTAGTTTGTATTTCTACCTAATTTACACTCCAATTTGCTGGGTGTGGTGGCAGTGTACTCCTATAGTTCCAGCAGTTGAAGGTTGAGGCAAGAGGGTTACATAAGTTTGAGACCAGCCTGAGGCTATATAGTGAGTACAATGTCATCCTGCGGCTAGAGTGACACTCTGTGCCAAAAATAAAAAGTAAATAATTACAATCTTTCACAAAAAGATTGCTATCTGGTTTCTTCCACTCATTACATTGACCCATTCACTGCACCACAGTCCAAGAATGGCTTGCTTCTTTGTTGTTAGTTACCCTTTGTGTGGATAGATTACAATGTTTAACTATTTGTGTGTTTGTCCGTAGACATACTATTTCATTTCTCTTGGGGGAAATGAATAGGTAGATCATGTAATAGATGTCATGGTCTGAATGTGAAATGGCCCCCATAGACACATGTGTTTGAACACTTAGTCCCAAGCTGGTAGCACTATTTTGGAAAGGTTATGGAACCTTTAGGAGGTGGTGCCTCACTGGAGGAAGTAGGTCCCTGGAAGCAGGTCTTGAAGTTTTATAGCACAGACCTACTTCCTGTTTGTTCTCCACTTCCTGAATACAGTTGCAGTGTGACTAGGCAACTTCTTGTTCCTGCTTCCATGCCTTCCCTGCAATGGTGGATTGCATTTCTTTGGAACTACAAGCCAAAATAAACTCTTTCTCCCTTAAGCTGATTTTGCTGGGGCATTTTATCACATAAATAGGAAAATAACTAAGAGAAAAAAATTGGTACTAGGAGTGGGGTACAATCTGTCACCATGGGAAAGTCAAGGAAGCATGAGTGTAAGGCAGTTGGTCACATGGCATCCACAGTCAGGAAGAAGAGAGTGATGAATGCTTGTGCTCAGCTCATTTTCTCCTTTTCTATAGTCTAGGATCCCATTCCAAGGACTAATCAAAATAATCTCTCACAGGCATGCCTAGAGACTCAACTTCTAGGTGATTCTAGATCTTATCAAGTTAACTACAGAGTTCACCATCACAACTTCTGTCAGTATTTTATCACGGCAAGTGGGAAAGTAACTATTAAACTGGCTTTCTGCTTTTGACTTCTTTGTATCAGTATCTCTTCCCATAGGCAATGTGTACAGTTCTAGCTGTTCCCGACACATGGTACACACAATTATTTTAGTTTTAGCTACTCTGATAGCTGTGTTGTGGCATGGTTGTTTTAGTTCCCACTTTTCTAATGAGCAACAAAATGGGACATCTTTTCATGTGTCTTTGCTATCTTTAAATCTTTTTTAAAAATAGCATCTGTTTAAACCATCTACCTGTTATTTTAAAATTGAGTTGTTTTCTTACTGAGTTTTTGGCATGCTTTATTCTAGAAACAAAATCCTTTATCAGATACATGCTTTATAGATATTTTCTCCTGGCTTGGTCTCTTTTTTTCTTAGCAGTAGAGTGCCTTATAAAGATCAGAAGCTTTGAGCTTTGATTCAGCAGACTTCCAGTATAGCAACTGTTTGCTGTTGTTGTTATTGTTTGGGGTTTGTTTTTTTTTTTTTTTTTTGGTTTTTTTCTTCTTCTTAACACAGACCTTTTAGTTTCTCCTTTTTGTTGCAAGGCAGAGGCCTTGAAGCATTTGGGGCAGGGAGTTACCTAAGTCATGTGAAGGTGTCAGGTGGGTCCATCCATCAGGAAGCCCCTGGTATTTCAAGTGAAGCAATCCTTCATAAA